GCGAGTAACCGGGTCCTTTGACACCAAAGAGATTTTCTTCTTCCCAAAACTTCTCTCAAGACGAGCCTTGAATTCGATGGTACTAAGATGCAAGCTCGCCGGAGCAACCATGTGGAACCCCCTCCACACTCCCTTAAAACCCCCTCCAACGATCTTTAACCTCTCTCAAACTCCACCCTTTCCTTTCTCCCTTTCAAGCTCTCTCTTCAAGTTTCCTCCAGAAGAACGGCTTCAATGGCTTCCTAAGACACTCTTCATGAGAAAGCAAGAGGTCTTTAAATAGAATTGCAAAATCGACATTATCGTCCAGGACGATCGCTGGATCTTCTCGTACGATATGCATAAAAAGAGGGCTTCCGAAAACCCTAAAAACTTAATTTCGGCGCCAAACATCATCCAGGACGATCACATGATTGTCCCGTACAATATGCTTAAAAAGAGGGCTTCAAAAAACCCTAAAAACTCAATTTTCCTATAATCATCTTGGACGATCGCGGGATTATCCAGTATGATGTGCAGAATTTGACCTGATAGTCCTTGACAATATTTGGATAGTCCAGGACGATTAGTACAAAAATGTATAAATCATCCAGAATGATATTGTGGATCATCCAGGATGATTAGAAGAAAAATTATGGTATTTCGGTTTGGACGATTTAGGAAAATCAAGTATGTCGACAAACATCATATAGATATCGTCTAGGACTATCCGATTGAAAAATTTAACCATAATTAATCCCCTAATCACATGATCAATTTAGGCATGATTTGTATTGATCATCCAGGATGATATGATCGGCCGGGACGATTAGAATAAATTTTAAACTTAAATCTTTACCTAAATTATAATTGGCGGCTCTTTCCAATATCATAAAGGATCGTCCTGGACGATCAAAAATCGTCCAGTACAATTAGTTCAAAACTTGATCTTCTGGATTTGACTAGATCCACTCCCTTGAGTGTGTGTGTGCATGGTCACCAAGCATGCATACACCCTTACAAGACTTGACTCAAGAAATCAAAATTACATCAATGAATATTACAGACCCTTTTACAACATAACATTATTCAACCCAATCTTGAGCTCTGATTGTTTATTTGATGTTGCATGGTATTTCTGAAATGTTAGTATACACACAAATAAATATATATTGCAAATACAAGTAGACAACATAAAGTGAGCCATAATATTTATTATCATAAAAAATTATAAACTCATAAGCTTGAGTTGGAATATGTTTCTTTTAAGTGGAGTAGCAATATATTGAAAGAGTGTGAAGTAGTTTGTCATTGCTTCATCCATAATGGAAGTTGAGTTTGTGGTATATTTTGATGCCACAATTCAAGAATTATGATTGTTGAATTTTATTTTAGGACTTGGAGTTGTTGATAGAATTATCAAGCCACTAAAAATTTTTTATGTAATACCGTAATAATCTTCTTTTCTAAGAACGACAAGTATTCAAAAGATGCTAAACATATGTAGTTAAAATAATTTGCTGTTAAAGAAGAAGTTCAAAAATAAAGAGTATCACTTGAGCACATTAGTACCAATCTTATGATTGTGAATCCATTAACTAAAGGATTGTCACCAAAGACATTTCATAAATATGTTGATATGATGGGCATTACCAAAAATCCTTATTAATTTTATGTTTATTTGCTCTTTATGTCTTTTGATACTTTGAGCTCTTTTATTTTGTTTATGATAATTAGTATATCTTGTTTATTATGTTGTGTACATATGAATATTTATGTGAATATTGACATGATTTGTCTTTTATAAAGTCATTCTTGTTTGCCCATTATGAGTATATCTTATAATTATTCATATATTAAGTATAAGATTAATATCATGATACATAGAAGGAAATATACATCGAACTAATGATGTGTGACCGCCATGATTCATATTAATTTTATACATAATAATGAATTTATGATTTGACCCATTTCAAAAAGAGGATTTACATCACTACAACAAAATCACATATTACCTGCGACCTTTTTCGACAAAAATTAATCATTTTTCGACGATTTCTGACGGTAAAATTTCTGACAGTAAAACCCGCGTAGGAAAATTTTTTCCGATGGTATTTTTCGATGGTAAAAAATTCCTGCGACTATCCGATGGAATTATGCAGCCAAAAAATAAAAATATTAATTAAAATAAATTTCTCTACCTGGCCACTTGCCTTCTCGCGCTGCACGGAGGCACTCCTATGTTGCCTGCCTAACTGCCCAGCAACAGGAAGCCCCGCCACGCTGCCCACTTGCCTGAAGCCTCGCCCGTGCTGCCTACCTACCAGAAGCCCCGCCCGCATTGCCTTCCTTTATATGTTGCCCGGAGGCACTCCCATACTGCCTGCCCGAAACCCCGCTCACCTGCTAGCACCCCTGCATCCCATGAGATTCAAACAATGGTTGGTTAGAAATTTTTCTAACACCCAACCACATTGCTACATAGAAAAATATGTTTTAATTGTCAGTTTTTTATATTTAAATCATAAAAATATGGAAAAGCCAATGGAAATGCCCCAAGAAAATTAAGTTGGAAAGAAATCGCCGGAAATTTCCACCAGAAAAGTTGTCTTATTGTCTTCCGTTGGAAAATTGCAGGAAAGCCACCGAAAAATTTACAGCCGGAAAGCCACCGGTAATGAATTATTTTCCTGTAGTGTATATTGCACTTTATATTTATAATAATTATATTACTAATTGGATAATATAATATGGGTCAAGTGGGATAATGTTAGAATAATTAAATATAATAATTATGCAATACGTCGCAATAATTATTTAAGTATATATATTTAATTATATAAGCCATTAAGCCCATATATTTGAATTATTGAAATTTAATTATTTATGTTTAAATCTTATTGATCAAGAAGAGATAATTTGATCAATCTTTTATGAACCATTTGATCAAATAACTACTATGAGCGGTTATTATAACTAAACCGTAAGAAATAAATATTTATCATCTCTCTCTCTCTCTCTCTCTCATTATGGAAGTTAGTTTATTCCGTAGAACAATAACTCACGAAAGAAGGAAGTAAAAGGAAAAAGGATGAGAAACCACAGTTCAGAATTCAACGAATTCAACATGAATTAATGTATGTTTTCTTGTGAAAATCATCTAATAAAAGATATTGTGGATTTAAGACTTATGCAAATTCATGTTTTTCGTTTTGATTTCTTTTATATAATTTATGATGCAAGTTCTTACAAGAGTTAAAGAACTCATAATCCATGTTGTGAGTTCTTGTAAAAATTAGATTACTTAATCTTAAAGAAAGTTCTTGTAAGAATATAAGAGCTCTTTTTATCTAACACATAATCCATTATTCCTTGGAGCCAATTAGGTTCAAGCGAATTCTCTTAATGTCTATAAATTTTTGCAAGTACATGATCTTTAGTAACGTTCATCATCTTTGATGAGTTCGACTTCCCAATCAATATGTCCTAAGTTGGGATAAGCAGAATTTGATCCCAACATGGAAGATATATGGGTTTGCAAATCAATTGTTTGAATCACATTAATATTAATTATGTTTAATTCCTCTATAATCAACTAATCTTTGTTGAGTTTGCCCTACCAATGTGTCCTTACGGGATACAGCTTTCCAATTAATAGATGGTTGAACCAAATTAATATTGATTAAATTATTTTCTCTATAATATACTTATTTGATATATATTTCATTGATCACCTGTATTCCTTTTTGTTCCTATGGTTATATGTTTTATCTTTGCTTTATATATTAACTATTTGAGTAAACATACTCATAATGCTACCTATAGGGCATAAATTTTCTAACATCATCATTATACCTTATTTTGGGCATATATATCTTGGGGCTTACAAGAATAAAAAGAAAAGTCCTACTAAAGTTGTACCAGTCGTGGAACGTCATTAGCTTAGTCAACCACTTAAAGTAGCGATACATATTTATTTCGCTACTTGTGTAAATTTAATTCAATTGAATATATATATAATTTGTAGTAATAACATTTTATCATATTACATCTTATAATTTATATTATTTCTCCCATACATTGATCATCGGTTTCCGCAATTTTTTTTTTTTTTGGGAAAAATCGGGCGAACCCATTTCTTGTATGTGTAAACCATTATACCAATGGTCCCAAAGAAGACTAATAGGGCTATTATCCGTGACTTTAAAAAAGAAATTGGGCTTAGCTTTGGTGGCTGTAAGACAAATCACTTTCTTTCCATGTCTAACATTTAGGTTTGCGTATTTCATAAAAATTAAAAAGGCCTGGGTTGGGAAGGTCGCTTCACCCCATTTTTTGCCCATCTATGAATGATGGGCTAATTCTACTTGTTGAACTTATTTATTGACTTCCATCTAATAGAACTTTAAAATACAAACTTCACAATTATAAGCCCAACTACTTATGCAGCTCGTATCATGTGCAAGACTTGGCGCCTACTTTAGCTCGATTCATCCGTACCAGGAAAAAACCCTGATATGTCAAAAACCGAAACTTGATCCTCTGAAAACCGAAATGCAAAAAAATATTTTGACAGATACATGTTGGAATCATTCAGCCTAGGTAGCTTGGACTGGGATAGGCCCTGCCTTCCCACACATTCATCACATAACAATAGAACGATTTCTTGGATTAATATAGAGACCCATCTGCAAAACTATTTAAAAGATGGAGGCATCAATAATTGTGGATATATCAAATTAATTTCCCGAATAATTCCAAAATAGCAAAAGTGAAATGCACGCGCCCCTCATTTGATCGATATATCATACAAATACATCTCTTTATGCCCAAAGAGCTCACTTAAGCTTACAGATTAATACCTATTTCGAGGCTTGTTTCAGTGATTCTAAGCATAATTAACTAGAAGCTTTTTTTTTACGTAACCAAGCAAAATAAGCTCAGTACTGTGTTCTAACACCTCAAAAACATGGTCTAAAACAGTCAATCTCTGTAGCCCTGAACCAAACAAGAATTAATTATTTTTAAACAATATTTTTTTATAATTTTAATTAATCAAATAAGCCCTCAGGAATTTTATAAAATATACCATGCGGTTTAAAGTGACCACGGAACATAATAGGAGAATACAGAAAGCTCTGTAACTATCCATCCAAGATACTGACGCTGAAGTCGGTTATAGAAACATCACAAACACAGTTCTACAGAAACTCGTGAGGAAAAGATGATAACCTTCAGACATCATATTTATGACCTCTTCTTCCTCTTATTCTCCTCGCGTTTCTTCTCTGCAGAGTTCTTTAACTACAAAGATGACAAACAACCAAAATATTATAAAGATTATTTGCATATTAATTATTGTATCAGATGACCAATGAAGTCATTCATGTTTACCATGATAACAAGGATGCGGACAAGAACTGCAATGAAATCGGTAAAGAGGGTCAAAGCATGCTTCACGTAGTCTAGGTCGCCATGATGGGCCTTCTCAATGATTTCTTGAGTATCAAACACAATGTATCCCAGGAAAATCAACAGACCAAGATAAAGCTGCAAAGGGAAAGAGGTTATCACCACAAATAGTATTTAAAAAAATAATTTAAAAAAAAAATACTTCAAAGCAACTACAGCAATGGACAATTCCAATTTTTGATCTCAATGATCATGTCGTCTGCTTACTTACCTCAATGTTGAACATGGAAGCACTGCTGCCGAAGATGAATGATGCAAACCGCATCCAAAAGAGAATTGAAAAGCCAGCAGACAGCAGGCCACCAAGGTAAAGGAACTCCCTGCGCTTCGACACAATGGCTGCACCTGAAAAGCAAGCAAAGGCTAAAGAAGTGCCTACAAATCCAGTAACCAATATCCTGCAATCCCCGAAAAAAGAATAGGTATTAATTAACACGGAATTAAAAAAGAAAGAAGGTTTGAAGATAATCATATCACTAAAGAATCAAAAAATTAACTACCGAATATTTGGATCAGTTTTTAAGAAATCAAAAAAATATAAACTTTACTTGAAATCTCCATTTTTTGTTCAAAAGCTGACTAAATATAAAAATATACGTGGCATTATCGTAACTAATTATGAGACCTATGGAACGAAGACACCGTTTTCAAGGAGTTCAGCTTGGCAGGATTCTAACTCAGAAATTTCGTCGATCAAACAAAGGAGCCATTTAAAAAATAAATACTTAGAAAGATTCTTTAAAAAATTGTAGAATATAACAGATCACATAAAAATTCCAGTAGCACCACAACTTGGCAAGTCAACCCAACAGCCTAACATACAGCCTTCTTAATTCTGGAAAATTCCAGTAGTTGATTTAAAATAGTCGGTTTAAGGTTTGGCTGCATACATATTCCTCTTTCAGATCATCAAGGTTGTTGAACCACCACCCTCCTTGTCTATCCCCCACTCGATAGCCTACTTCCTCATCCTCTTGGGCCTTCTACATAGCAATTCTTTTCGCTTTCAACATTGTGTCGTACCCTACTTGGCATATGTTTTCTCCTTCGCCAATCAATGACCTCTTCTTATCTACTGATGTCAACAGAAGCTATCACCAGAACCATAATCATAAGTCCTTCCTTTGTGCTTATTGTCCAGGCGGTATCCCTTTTCTCACTGTTATAAGATGTAAATAAATACTTAATAATTTAATTTAAGTTTTTTGTCATATGAATTTGGGGGCAGATTATTTACTGGGTTTCCGAATTTGATTTCACGATGAAGTGATGATAATTAACCTAGGTTAAGTACCAGAGTTGAACTTCACCAAAAAGAGTCCAACAATGACATACGTTGTAGGACGCAGGAGTCCCCATCATCAATGCCTTATTCCGCCCAGTGTATCACGGTCCGAGAAGTCCAACCTGTGACGACATTGCCCCTAATTTGTCTACACGCTAAGTTCTTTAATTTGCTTCTAGTAGTTGCCTGGTTGCTTTGGTATGCTCTTGAAGCTCTGGATTGCCTTGGTATTGTCGTACAAATTGCCACGACATTGGTGGATTGCCATTAAGTGTTGATAAAAATGGATTAACGCTCTACCAAAGTGTAAATGCAACCTCATTTGCTCATTTGATTACTTGCAGAAGAGGGTTCATAACAAAAAATAAAATTAATTATAAAAACGTTGTGTTTTCTTAGCATAATTGGTATTTCCCCTCAATAACACATTTATAAAAAAGCAATTAATTTAACATATATCCAGGAAATGCAGATGCCTTTCCCTGCCCTCACTAACCGATTTAGATGTTTGAGTTTCGCATGGTTATTTACTTAGCTTAATTATTTTTTTGTTTAAAGAGGATTTTTAATGTTTATTAACTTAACTGAATCACCTGTTTAGCAATGGATATACATATTCTGTCTTTCAGAAAAATTGGTGAAGAAAGAACACCCCCACCAAATATATGGAGCAACAAACCAGAAAGGTTGATCCAATATCCATTCCATATGAGACAAACAGTGCTACCGTCCTGGAAAGCACAAATGGACTTGGAAGGGACTTTCTCTTAGCTAATGGCCTCACAAAACAAAACCAATAAAAAAATAAAAGACAAGTAATGTGATATTTGGCGCAAATAAGGGATTAGAGATGTAAGTGAGCCAAAGCCGACTTATAAATCGGGCTTGAGCTCAGCTCAATGGTCAATGAACCGATCTCAATAGGCTAATTAGTCAAGCATGAGTGAACCTCGTGAGTAGGCCCGTTTAAAAAATATTACTATAAAATAAACTTAAAATATGTTAAAATTCAAGAGTTTTAAGTAAAAATTTATTAAAAATATTAAAAGAAATATCTCACTTTCTTATATCAAGTAATTCTTTATTATCTTTTAATTTTTCATTCTTTTTATAATTTTAATATACCAATTATTTGAATCATAATATTTTTTCTTTTCTATCATATCGAGCAAGATTTTTACTCTGCTCAAACTTATTGATTTAAGCTCAAACTCAAACTCAATTAATTAATCAAGCACAAGTTAGGGGTGACTCAGGCTCGTCTCGATGGGTTTACACCACTAGAAGAAACCCCAAAAAATATAAAGTACTTTGTTGATTGGTCAAAAGATATACTTGGATGTGAAAAGATTTTTAGGGGATGTCAACTATATATATAGCACATCCAAACCTTCAAATTGGAAGATGTGTTTGAATGCACTCTTTCATATACCCAGCCAACTATAAGAATCCATTTCAATGAACATTTTAGAAGGATTACCGGAGAAACATATGGTTTAATTACCTATTCATCATAGAAGATCATTTCGTTAAGATAGTATGCCTTCTTTCATTAGAAAAACTATTATAAGAATAACTCTACATAGTTGTTTTTCCCGTACATTTAAAAGTACTTTGGGTTTAGATGAACACTTAAATGAAATAAAACACCACCTTTAATTCACAAATAGATAAGAAAACTGAAACAGTGAACTTTTTTTTTTTTTTTGAAAGAACAAGACAATGCTGTTGTGGAGCTATAATTCATGAAATCCAAAAACTTAGAATGAGACTTCCATAAATACAATTTGCCTTCATATAGTGAAGAGCAATAGTTAATGAAAGCACAATGATCATCAATTGCAGAATATATATATATTTTTTCTTAAAGAAAATTCACAAGAAACATACAAGACATAAGAAAAATAAAAGGCTTCCAATGACAAACAAAAAATAAATTGACTTTGTGAGAATGTGATTTAGTTCGGTAGAACCAAGAAGGATGGAATTAAAGGTGAAGGAGAAAAATTCAAGATCATCCATTGTAGTTTATTATGATTTTTTTAGAAAATTGATGATAATGCAATACAATAGGATCTACCATCCAAAATGAGACTCAACTTTGTTTTTAATTTAAAGAATCTAAAACTATTCGAACAATCATTGCTAGATGTCAAAGAGGAATACAAAAAGGTGATTCTTAAAATAGGGATCTCAATATTAAACTTAAAGGTTTATTGAAGAAGGATCACATTATGGATATGACAATCAGTAAGATTAAAGGAGACCTTAAAAATGCCAAAAAGGGAAAATTTCAAGATGAGTCAAAAGGAAAAGGAAGCCCGACTCTTACCTATGATGCACAAACATGGATACGACGACACAGACATGGAACACATAAATTATTGAAAATATAGGACACAAACACAAGTTGGACATAATATTATAATTTTTATATTTTAAAAATGGTGTATAAAAATTGAATAAATCTAATATTAAAAAAAATTGTGTAAACATAAAATGATAATTTTGTATTAAGGTGTAACAACATTAGACGTCAATTTTGAGATGACAACAAGAATTATTGTGAACAATGTTTAAAATTGCGTAATCGGGTATTAAGGTGTTTTTTGTTCGTGAGGCGAGGAGTAAGTCTCAAAATCAAAAAATTGTGTAAACATAAAATGATAATTTTGTATATACTAATGAGTAAATAATATATAAAACATAAAAATACACAAGATATGAGGTGAAATCTATCCCAATAATAAGACAACATGAATACAATAATATACCGGTCTACTGAGGTCCAAGGGGGCGCTGCCTCCTGGCGGGGTTTGAACTGAAGTTCTGCTTGTTTTTAAAGTTCGTAAGTTGTTTGTATGGAAAGATATCGAGCGGTACCGAGCATGTATCTACTCAGTACCGAGTGGTACCGAGCATGTACCTGCTCGATATCAAGCATGTACCTAGTGGTACCAAACATTGTTGTACCTAGATGTACCGAGCATTTACCTAGCGGTGCCGAGCATGTACATTAGCTTTTTTTAAAAAATTTAGAGGCGGATGCTTCTCAACCGTGAGGCGAGGTGCGCCTCAATAAACTTGAGGCGTACGCCTCAAATCATGAACTCATTGCATGGATTTGAGGCTTAAAGGGGCGAAATTGTGCTAAGGCGCGCCTCTTATTGCGCAATTTTAAACCATGATTGTGAAAACAAAATCGCAACTTGCCAAAAAGAAATGAAAATGATAATCTTCGATGAATGGTGTATAAGTGTGGACGATTGATTTGGTGTCGTGGATAGGAAATAAGAAGTTTAATATTTATATTTTAAATAAATGAAAATTCTAAATACAATAAATAATATTTAAGTATTTAAGGCATGGGTGTCAGACACATGTCCAATTTGTATCTAATTTTTTTTTAATCAGAACCTTTTGACATGTCTAGCACGGGTCAGAGGCGTGTCGGACGCGTGTCACGCTGCAAGCCTTTTTTAGGAGAAGTGTCGGTACATCATAGTTTACTACTATTCACAAGAGCAAATCAAGCTAATGGTATAGCCATTATCCAGGTTAAGCTTTTGTAATAGCCAATGAATTAGGCTAGTATGAACCAATGTTTAAAATTGCGTATTCGGGTATTGAGGCGTTTTTCACTCATGAGATGAGGCGTAAGCCTCAAGGCGTTTTGAGGCGTAAGCCTCAAAATCAAAAGATTGCGTAAACATAAAATGATAAATTTTTTATATACTAATGAGTGAATAATATAAATATAAAACATAAAAAAGCATAAGATATGAAATGAAATCAAAATATCCCAATAATAAAACAACATGAAATGTAGTTCAACTCAAAATTCTATCTTTTCCAAATCCCAGTAATATTTGATTATTTTCATTAACATATAATTCCAATTTCCAAAAATAAATAGCAATGACATATCACATAAGAACTCATAAGTCATCAGCACTGTCATCACTAAGGGGTTCTTCATTTGAATCATCATTATGATGAACGACTCTCTCCCCTTCCTCCTCTCCTATAGAGTCCAATGTCGGGCATTTACGTCAAGATTTATGTGAGTTTTAATATATATAGCGTGAGACGTAAGCCTCATGCCAGTGAGGC